CATAGCCAGAAATCCCGTACAGTCAGCGGCTCGAACGGCGGGCGCGTAAATTTCTGCATTCAAGATGGCGGATAAACGAAGAGGAAAGCATTCCCAAGGCTATTATCGGAGCTTAAATGCTCTCAATACGGCAGATTTCATTGAGAGTCGGTGGAAAAGGAAAAAAGGCCCTTACTTTCAAGTGGAAAGAGTTTTAAGCTGCAGGAGAAATAAAGGAAAGGTAAATAAGACGCTTGTTTGAAGCACGTAACGTCACTAATGAATTGATAACCTTGTGTACACTTTTTACCGCACACATAAACAAGTGTTCTATGTATTTTGTCTTTAAGAATGAGTACCTAATTCGTTGGAAAGGGTACAGTTCGCTGGAGGACACGTGGGAAGTGGAGGAAAACCTTAATAAAACCGCAATAAGGTGCTTCTTTTAGCATTATTTTGTCCAGTCAAAATTAAACGTACGAACTTAATTTTTTACTACTCCTCGATCTAGTACGAAATAGTTTGGGACACGAGAAGAGAAGATAACAATTTTATGTCATCTTTCGCATTATAAGCAATTTTGTTAGTGTTTTTATTTGGTTATTGTTTCACTTTCTGCAAAAATATTGCATGTATTTTAGACAATAATGGATCCCAACTATTTTCTTTAGGGCATTTAGAATGTCCAAACCCTCAGAGGAAAGAATTAAAGAGGGATCTGATCTACTGGCAGTTGCTATTCTCCAGCATCTCAAGAGCAAACATCAGACAGCCTCAGCCACAACTGTAGTAGAAATTAGACATGATGTCTTTAATTATATTTTTAGAGGACGAGGAAGACCCAGCACAAAATCTGGTTGTACTTTGTTAGAGAAGACTGACTTTAACCGCTGTTCTTTTTTAAAAGAATGTCCCGACTGGGACTCTTACATAGACAACCTTGGAGATGGCACACAAGTCATATTTCCAATTAGAGCAAAACCTTTTGTGAGCTTGGGACCACAGACACATAAACTTGTGGAGGGGAAGCTTGTACCTAAGCCCAGATACCATCTCGAAAAAGTAAGTTTAAGTTTTAACAAGCGCTCAATTGCAGTATTGTGATTGAAACTGAGAATGTGAATGCATGCTTTTAGATGGGTTTAGGTACAAGCTAATACCCTGCTTATTAAGCGCATTAATAACCCTGCTTCTAAGAAATTATGTTGTTATGTCAAGTCAGAAAGTTACATAAAGGCTTTGAAATTGTTGTTTATATTTGTTTATATTTTGAAGATTCCTCTGTTTATGTGCATGCTTTGTAGCTGCTCAGGCTAGACTCTTTTTTTTTTCTGTTTTGTTTGTTTACCCTTTCCTTTCCCTTTTCTGTTTCCTTTTCCCCCATCGTCTATATGCCTTTTTCTTTTATTTCCCGGCCTTTCATGATCTGTGCCATTTCTTGCTTGGGGTTGTTCATTCTGAACTTGTGATGTAGATGTGTCTGGCGAGTTGTTGCTTTCCATGTTGGGTATGTTTGCTTCAGGTTGTCTCTTTTTACCCGCACGCTTGACACTGATTTCTTGCTCCCAGTATTGAGAATTGTGTTTTGTGTACTTTCTGCTTGCTCTTTCTCTTTCTCTTAGAAGCCATTGTCTGTTTTCAAGTCTAAGAATATCTCCAACTGAGTCAAAGTGGTTTGATTTTCGAAGCACTACATTCCTTGCTGAGTCATTGTTTTTCTCAACTCCTTGACCAGTGAATACTTTTAGAGATTTATGTGTATGGAGGAAATAAGGGACATGAGCAAAAAGTACATGCATATATGGAGTAATTCTCTTTCTTTCATAGCCAATTCTCTTTCCTCTGAGAGAAATAAAGGTCTCCAACCAGTTTTGTGCCTTGTGCCAAAAAGTGTCAACAGATTTGTCTGAGGACCAGGAATTTATGTCTTCATACAAACTTCTGAAATCACTCCACACCTTGGATATTTCAGTGCAGGTATTTGGCTGCAGCACTTTACAGAGATTTTCTGGTAGCAAGGAGAGAATTTTCTTCTTGTCGTTTCCAAACAGACTTGTAAATTCATACTTTCCAGTGCCTTTATTGTCAGCTGGATTTCGGAGTTCCCAAACATCAAAACCCACACCATAGGATCTGATCTCACTCACGAGCTTTTTCAAATGGATGCCTTGAGGCTCTTTGGATGATTTTTCGAAATCTTCAATCTTATCCCAGTCAATGACTTCAGTGATAATGTTGTCTAGCATCACATCCATTACACGTAGCAGCAGGTGTAACTCATCTACAATGACATGGTCAAGGTCTATGTTCAAAAGTGGTTCCTTCACACAGCAGTAATCACCTTTTCCTTTCTTCACCAGCTCCTTAATTTCCAATAGTGTTCTCATCATTGGTGGTGAATTAAAGTGATGGAAATGCTTGTCTGTTTCCCACCTTTTGTCTTTATGGATTTTACACCATAGGCAGGCATATAAAGATGTAGCCCCCTTAAGTCCCATGACTGTCAGTAGAAATTTATAGTCCCCTCCTAGGAAAAACTCAAGCTTAACTTCTTGACCATCAACACTAATAGTGCCTTTGTCAATCAGAGAATTTATTTCTGAAAATGTAGTCTTGAAAGATACCTGTAGTGTTTCATACTTTTCACTACCATTGACTACTGCAATGGTATGATTTCCTTTGGCAGACATAACTTCGTCTTGTTTCTGGAGTAGTGCACAAGAGAGAAGAATGTAATTAGATTTCTGTGTCATTTTAGCTCCATCCCCACTGATTTTTATTTTTAGTGTTTCATTGCCAAAATCAAACTCTGGATTTTCCTTTTTAAAAGCTGAAATTTGCTGCAAGAGAAGTGATTCAAATGATACTTGTGCACCTTCATTTGTTCCAGGAGTAGGTGTCACATGACAAAGTTTGTCCAGATCATTTCTGCATTGTTTAATCAGATAAGATCTTGGAAGACCATTTTCAATCATGCTAAATTCGTGGTAAAATTCATCACTGACACAGAATTTATCAAGAAGATAAAGAATTTGTTCAACTTTTTCCATGTCGGAATCGTTTATGTTAGTAACAGGATTTGAACATTCGCCTGATTTTTGTGCTTTGGTTTCAACATTTACTTCGTATGTTTTCCCTGTGTCTGCCTCTTTAACTCTAAGTGATTCAACATGAAGGCCAAATGCTTGTGAAAACCACAAAGCTGTTTCAGCTCTAGTCAGGAAAGCCTTCAATGTGCGCTGTCTGTTCTTAGTCTCAGAAATTTTTTTTCCATTGTAGGAAAACCCTTCATCTTTCTCAAGGCATTTGATATACTCTTGAAGTTGATTGTTGGTATTTTGAAGTTGACATAGTTCCTTACCCATTCTGTTGATAGTGTCCTTCATTTCATCAAAAAGGTTTTTTTTTTCTGCCTCCAGGTTTGCATGTGCTGCTTTCCATTCTTGTAGATCATTTTGTAGAGAAACTACCTCATCTTCAACCTCTTGAAAAGAAGCTAATTGGTCTTCATGTAAATGAAATTTCAATGTTTTCTCATCCAATTGCTCCCAGTTTCTCTTACCTTTATTTGTGCGATACAGTGATAGAACATTTGCTGCTCTTTTTGCAAACTGCTCATGGACATTTTGGCGTGTACCCATGTCATCTTTGATTACAAATGCATGTGCTGGTGTACACATATCAATTAAATCTGGAAACATTAGCTTTCTTCCATCATTGACATAGTAAAACTTGGCCTTCCCATTGCTTTTGGTATATAGAATTCCCTGGAGGCCTCTATAGTTCCAGAGGAAGTTGATATTCTCAGAGTTGTTTGTAGTTTCTAAAAGAAAATTTAAAAAAATAATCAATAAAAACAAACATACTCTCAGGCATAAATCAATCAATCAATGGACAGTATAGAAGAGAATCCTGGCTTTATACACTGTAAATAATCATATTTACTGAATATATATTTAAAAGAAAATTAAAGGTGAGTGAGATTTGAACCCACAAAAAAAGTATCCACTGAAAAAAGGAGATCCTGTTGATAATAAAGTGTATGGTAGATCACAAAATAATGAGGACACAAATGATGTATTTTGCTCTCACATCACCTTTTTTTAGCTGGATAGACTGGCCTTCATCAGGGTCATGTTAAGGCCTCGTGAAGTACATTTTATGCAGCTGAAATGTTGGTGATGATTATATATATTTTTTTTTATGTTATGTTACTTTGTATCTTTCATCTTATGGATATTCCCTTCCCCTTTCACTCTCTACCACCCCTACCTTCTTATCAAGGAATCACCAGAGAAGGTTAAGAAAATATACCAAAAAGTTTACAAGGTTGTAAATATCAGGACAAAATTACTCACCTTCTTGATGAGAGGAATTAGCATCTTGACCCGCTGCTTGAAACTTTTCTTGCTCCCTCACAAGATAATACCACTCTTTAATGGTTGAATATGCCAAAGAAATTGTTAAGGCTACCTTTCTTGTTGCTATGTTTCTTGCATATTGCAAAGATTTATCTACAATATCGATTTTCCAAGGTTGAAATGATTTATTTGGTGGTAGTTCAGACATGGCATTTATAAATATTTTATTTTCCCAAGATTTTCCCGCAATCTTCCCGCTTTTTTCCAAATCCTGCCGGTTCTCATGTTCAGCGGCTTTCCTATTGCAAGAGGGAACACCACTGACCAAGGAAACGAGGAAAAACAAAATGGCTGTCGAAGAGAACGAAAACAGACAGGAGCAACGGCCATTCTTGCCTCAGTGTAATGGCTCTCACTTCGTTGATGACATTTACAGAAAATAGCACTTTTTATCTTGAAATGGCACTGCCTTAGCTGCTGTTTATATGGGAGAAGATATCTTAATTGGCGAGCTTTTCATCTTATCTTTCGAATGCAATGCTGGGGAAATGTGTCGGTACGACGATCTTTGCATCAAGAGCTTAAGAAAATATGAAGGTAACCACCATTTACAGAGACTTATGGGAGAAAGGTACGCTTATTTCTGAGGTTACGTACCAGTAAAAGGCACCGACTAAAACAATTTTATCATCGCATGTTGTTCGAATAAACTGTTGTTTATACATTGTGTTTCGCATTTTTAAGCTGGGGAAAGCTGTGTTTTAGGCAACATTAGCAAAAACTGGCAAAGTTTACATTACTCTCCACACTCTCTCTATGTTCGGCCGCCATATTTAAATCCACATGTGTGCCCCCTGCGCATGCTTGGCAGCCATGCTGTATGGAATTTCTGGCTATG